GGTTCAGTGGCACCCGCCTGGCTTCGTTCAGGGCGCGAAAAAGGGGATTCGACACCCCAAAAGAAGAGGTGTCAATGCGGTTTCTTCCAGGCTCACTGCCGCCTACCCCCCCTGTAATTGCCACCTTTGTAGAACGACAAGTTTTCGGGACAACTAAATAGCCCGGAATGTTTTGTTTTTTTTCCACACATGGGCAGACTACAACGTAGTGGGCAAGCCATTGGATGGGTCGGTTTGGTGGGAGAGGCTCCTGATCTTTGACCTGCTGGGTGCGGATATGCTGTCGGATTCTTTTGGGTTGCGCGGGCTCCTTCAGTTCCAGGCTAGATTATGATGGATTAACCCACCAACTGGGCCGAGATCGTTTCACAAGAGTTTTAATGAGAGCTTACATTTTTCTGAGCTGGGAAAGGTTGCATGGGCCTTTGGCAAGGGAACGTTAAGCTTCCAGACTTTAACACCCCCATGCACAAGGCTTGCAGGCGGTATGTCACGGCTTCCTTGTAGAGTTGATGCTGTGGATGACACCCATTTCGCACCACGTTGAAAGCATGGGAAGCCATGACTTGTTGGCATTTACAGGGGAATCATCATTCCAGGGTTTCTGAATGGTGCTGCGAAATGCATTGCGTCCACCCACAGTGTGACCAACTCGGGGCCAAATCTGGGAGTCAAGTTCCTGAACACCCAAGCTGAGGGAATTGAAAGGGCGTTGGGGCAAAGGCAAAAAGCCCTGCACGTATTTGTCTCTCAGTTTTCCACAAATCAAAGCATTGCCCGGGAGACCTAGAGACCATGAGAAGAAAGCACGGCTTTCGTGTTGATTTTCCTTCAAAATGCATCTCAAACTGGGATCCCATTTTGAGACATTGCATTTTGAACGCATCCAAAGTGGCCTTCCCAGTCGTTCATTGGCAGCCTATTCGCTCTTCTTGATCGTTGTTGTTGGTACCACACATGGTCATCGCCCCTAGAAAGGGTTCCATTTTTTTTTCTCCACCTTTGGCGTCACTGTTGTAGCTGAAGGTTGGGAAAGTCCAACATAAGGGAGTAGCTAATTACACACACTTACACGATTCCTCTATGATCATGGCTTAGTTTGTTTTGACACCCCATTCCAATTGTCGGTTCGTCGATGCCCCATTTCGTTTGAGTCATCCCCTTGGCTAAGCCACTTTTTGGCAATCTCCTTGCGTATTTGGATGCACCAGGGATCCCATTTTGGGGTTGTTTTTAACGGGAAACCAAAAGGAACCACCCATTTTTGGGGCCCCATATTTTGAGACCATCTACTCCCTGGCACGGGCAGGTGGTCATGCGAAGTGTCAACCGCGAAGAAGAGTTCGCCATCGCCGCTTCGCCCGTACGGCGAAAACTTGGCCGGGGCCCGGCATTCGCTCTTAATGGGGTGTCGCTTTGTTCGGGGACCCCCTGTTTGGGATGGCTTTAAAATACAAAGGGAAACCGGCCATTTCGGGAGGTGGCTCCCTTATTTTGCGACAAACCCCCATGGACTTTCTGAGCTTGGGAAGGTGATTGTTGGGGTAACAAGTTCGGACTTGTTTCGGCTCCAGAAGTGAGGCTATGTTCACGAAGTCTGTTTGTAGCAAGCAAGCTGCTCGCCAATCAACCAAGCAAGAAGGCAGGCAGCCAACCAAGCGAACTAAACAATCATCCTTCTTTGACTTGGATGATTAAAAGGGCAGTTTGATGCTTGCTTTGCCATCGCAATCGCCGGAAGGTTTGTTTGCAGAGTTGGAGTGCCGCTTTTGATGTTTCTGTGACCGAGGAAATGCTCAACGTCCCGGAGAACATGGCGGAACCTGACTTACGGCAAATCCTGGAGCACGTGGGAGTTGATGCCTTCGAGGCGCCCAATTTGGGCAATTCCTCTCATGTTTTTTTTGTGCCAGTGCACACTCTGAAAATGAAGCTGTTACCATTGTCACCCCAAAAAATGGGGGGGGGGGGGGTTAAGAGATTCCTCTACAAGCATCGATCCCCCAAGAGATTCCTCTATAATGAAAAGGGCATCGATCCCGCAAGAAAATCCTCTATGGTAGCTTTCTAGGTTCATGTTGGGGAGTATTCTTTAGTCCTACGGTTTCCCTAGATGACTTTGAGATGGGTAGGAATAAGTGATTGATTTTTTGGGCTACAGGTGGCACACTGGATATTCGACCCAAATGCGGCTGGCAACACTCAGGGAAACAGGGGGGGGAGTGGGGGGGGGGTTCTTACAGACTTCTTGTTGAGGTGAAGTTCGAGGAAGGACCGAAGGCAACGCAGAAGGTCACGGTGCATTTCGTTGACAGGCGCCTTGTTTGCAAATGGCGCTTGGCTGGATGCAGGACTTATGGTTTCGGTTTGGCATTTAAGCGTGGCAGTGGCAAAGGGGTGACCATTGTCGACGGATGGTGCTAGACATGTTACTGTTGGTGGATTTGGATGGAGCATAGGTACAGGTACGAGGATGGCGCTTCCCCGGCCATTGGCGTTGAGCAAGCGACTTAGGTTTGATTTCGAGGTGGCGGAGGTGATCCTGTCTAGCTTCTGGCAGGGTGAGGCGGGCAGCAAAAGCCATCAAGGGCAATCCGTTGCGAGGGGATGCATGCCCCTTCCTGACCCGGGAGAACGTGAAAAATGGTGGAACATGGCAAACATTGAGCCCTTTTCTGCCATGAGGTAAATGGCTGAGAGGTGTTTGGACTAGGTGCCGGTGGTTTCACACCGGGCTTGGCAGGCCTGACCAGGTTCTGAGGCAAACCCATGTTGGAGGTTGCATTTGTTTATGCAGAGCAGTGCTAAGGACCCCGTGCAGGACACCTTTTGCTCGAATATATGCTAGAGGTTTAGTCACGGGGCTACGCAGATCCATTGCCGTTGTTTGTTCAGCCCCAGCCTCGCACAGCTTGGGACTCAGTTGGTGTTTCAGCCAAGATCCTTCAACTTCCCGCACTTTGGGGCTAGGACAAGGTGGACAGTCCGGACCACCTGCAGAAGGGCATCGCACAACTCAGAGGAGAGCTCAAGTCGCCCGAGGAGACGTCGGGCGACACCTTTGCCATCCCATGGGAGCATCCAGGCAGATCGACCCACAGAAGCCCTCATAGAGGACCTTCCTTTAGGACCCCTTGAGGGAGAAAGGGTGGGAGATGTTTTGGGGCCCATGTATTTGCCGCGGAGAAAATGGTGGTTGAAAGGAACCCCGCATCTTGCGAAGCCTCTTCAAATGCAAGCGCTTTGAGGGACCCATTGTTCTGGGGCTGGTGTCAGATGGGCACAGGCTAAGGCACGTTTGGCATGTCAAAGCGCTTGTTGGAGCATGGCCTCCTGCATCTTTGTTAGCCACTGTACCCTTGCCTTTTGCCCGGAGGAAATTCCATGCAAGTTGCGAGCATCAGCTGGGGCTTTGTCTGCAGCACGTTATCGCGCTTGCGTGCCAGGCTCCAAGGATAAGTCTTGGATCATCTATCCGATGCGGCTGGGGGTCGACGCTCGCTCTACTCTATGCGGGCTTCTTTGGAGGGGGGCCAAACTGATGTGAGATGGGGCGACAGGTTTGGGGCCGAGGGCCGCCCACTCCTAGGCGTGCAGGTGCTGCAATGAAGCAAACGGCAAAGAAGCAAGTAGATCCGCAAAGCGATTCCTGTTGAAAGCTGTCAACTGTAGCAGCCACAGAGTTCTGGGTCAGATCTCCCAGATGAGGATGGCTCAAAGAAGGAGGAGAATGCCACGAAGCCTGAAGGCCCGCCCTCTCACGAGACAGCACAGGACGGGGCCTGATGCACAGCGTTTCAGCAGCTTACTTTTTTGCAGAAACCAATGGGATTCATTTGACAAGTTGCATAAGGGACTATTCGGACACGCCGGCGTCAGGCAGATCGGTGTGCGTGGCCAAAGCCCTCAAATCTAAAGAGAAACGGGATCCAAGATCCCAGGCCCAGATTAGTCCATGGGCCAAGCACGGCTTTTCAGGATGATGGCAACAGCTCGCAGCACACCGGACCCATCTCTTCCACTTCCGGAGCGCTAGCCTTTGGTGACGGTTCTGAGGAAGACTGGCCTAAGCTTGGGGTCAAGAGGACGAAAAAGTGGCGCTTCGCAAGCGCGTGCGTGGCGAAGGCTTTCCTGGGCGTTTGAATTCATTCAGAGGCAGAAGTATGTGAAACAGAGGGTGCCTGAGAGATGTGTGCGTGTGTGCGTATGTATCTTTCTGTGAGTTTCTTCATGTGTGAGTTGCACATTTTTCGGGCTGGTGGTAATTTGTAAACTCCTCATATGTGTCTGTGTTTATTAGCTCTCTGACTGGATTTTTGTTTTTTTAACTTACATGCGCGCTTGAATGGATACACAGGTAATGTTTGCTTGAGGCTCGTGTCACATCCATCTTTGGTCCGATGTTGACGGGCTCATTGGGTTGAGTTGGCCAATTTGGACCATTTCTGCTTTTTGGCCACTGACCGCGCAGTCAAAACAAGTGGAACGCTTCAAACACTCGTGGAATTGCTATTTGTCTCCCGATGCACCTGTGACGGAAATCCAGGCAACGCAACTTTCAGCCCGTCGGCAGGATCCTTATTTTCACCTTTTGGGCCGTTTACGGGATACTAGCTGTTGGGTTCTTGGGTTCTTGGGCTGTTGGGCTGTTGGGTTGCTGGGCTGTTGGGCTGCTGGGCTGGTTCTTGGTTGGCTTGGTTGGGCTGGTGCGTTGTTGGGTTTCTGGGCTGTTGGGCTGTTGGTGTTGGGTTGCTGGGTTGTTGGGGCTGTTGGGTTGGGCTGTTTGGCTGTTGGGTTGTTGCGATGTTTGGCTCTTGGGTTGGGTTCTTGGGATGTTGGGCTGTTGCAAAAACCCAACAACCCAACAGCCCAAGAGCAAAACAAGCTGTGGTAATGTAGCCAAGGAGCTAATGCGAGCCTTCCCTTTGGTTTCCCAAGCCAAAAATGGCTGCCCTTGACCGAAACATACACACACACACAGCCCACCCACCCAACCTCAGGAATGGCTGGACGGTGAGGTTTGCGGGCTGGGCCCCAACGGCGCCTGGATCCGCCTCCGCCACTCAGGGCGAGACTGCCGCACCCTGCTGCCGCGGAAGCACTTCCCGGACCCGAAGCGTGTGAGGGTAACTCGCAGTGACTAGTGACTGGTGTCCAGCCTCGAAATAAATATATGGATTTGCTTGGGCGCGTCGGTGTGCGTGTGCGTGGGCGGGCTGGGTGGGCGGGCGGGCGGAAAGCGGGTGGGTGCCATCCACAAAACCGGGAAACGGTGAAATCAGACAGCAATGCGCGGGCTCGCTGTTGCTCAACTGTTTTTCACTTGGGCCTGCGGCCAATTTGCACGCAGGTGCTTGCATTGATTACTACACTTCCCGTTGCAGCCCGGCAAGCTGGAGAAGTCTGCATTTGTTATTCCAAGCTAAAGAACTTACTTTCCCATAGATCTGCCCTATCTCGCCGCGAGGTGTCCGCGACAAAGGGCTTGCAGTGGAATTCTTCGCGCGGCGTTTCGAGATTGCGCAGGTAATAGGTTTTGGCGTAGCGCCTTGACTTCAACGTTCTCGTCAGCCAACTCACTCTGGATGATGAAGAAGCGGCGATCATGTTGTCGGGCAGAAAATGCTGACGCGTGTGCTCAGCGTTTATATCTGTGTGCCAAGTCACAATGGTGTCAATCTAGCGCAGCCAGGATGTGGGTGGGAGGGCGGGCGGGCAGCCGGGTGGTCGGTCGGGCGGGCGGGTGTGCTTGGTGGCGCGGGTGTGCTCCTGCGTGCGCATGCGCGTGTGCGCATGTGACGTGCGTGTGTGGGTGTGGATGTGTGTCTGCGCGCGCGCTTGTCTGGAGAGCGCCCTAGTTTGGGGTTGGCTTAAAGGGCGCCCGCTTCCGTGCGAGTGGTCCCCTTATTTTGAGACAGACCAATATGTTTGGTTGTGCGGGCTTGGGACTCATGCAAGGGTGTTTACCACGTTGAAAGG